TTCAAAACCGTCAATTTGATGCGTGTATCGAGGTGCCGGTTTGCGAGTATTGGGTGCAGCTTCCCTGCTCGTGCTTTGCCCTTTTCCGCTACCTTGGACATGTGTGCATTCCACGAGCAGTCTTTTGCGATCTCTACTCCAAGGTATGTGTACTGGTCCACTACTGCAATCCCCTCTATCCCCCACGTCCATCTATGTTCTACTGGTTCCTCCTTGTTCTCGTTGCATACCATGACGGCACTCTTCTTAACGTTGGCAGACAATCTCCACCTATCAGTAAACTTCTTCGCCGCGTCAATTTGCAGTTGCAGTCCCTCAGGGGTGTCCGACCCACCGACAAATCATCCGCAAACAGCATTCCTGAAACCGACGTTTCCGTGTCCCCTACTTTACTCCCTTCCGGACTGCCTCTACGACTTCCAACAGATCGTTGATGAACACCTGGAACAATGTTGGGGACAGCGTGCAACCTTGTGGAGGGTGGGGGGGGGTAATAGTTGCAGTGGTATGAATCACACGCACAGATCACCCCGCCGCAGCTCGTGCCCCCCCGGAGACCAGAACGTAATGTACCGATGTACCGCTGATTTATCAGCACGATCAAGCGAACGAGACCGACGGCTGTGCTTGACTATTGTCCAATGTATCCTGCTGTCCGCAGGCCAGCAGAGAACGAGGATAGAGTCCTTCCCCCACATCGATGACCTTCCGGAAAATAAGAGGGTCAACGACCCAAGGTCCACTTTTTGGCGAACGCACCGACTCTTTTTCTGTTTTTTTTTTTCTTCTCAACATAAAAGTACTTCGAAGCATACCTACAATCATGGGACGGCTTTGGATACCCGTTCGAGACAAAAGCCGTACCTACCACACAGCAGGTGGATGTGCTTCTTTTAACGATATAGTGGAGATGGGTTGATTTCCTTGCTGGAAGCATTATATGTCATCCTGTACACCGAAACTCTTCGCAACAAAATCGCTACCACCTGCAAATCGGACACGAGACGAATTCATGACTCGAGAGCATGTCTTGCACATCGGTACTGCGTGATGATGGGTTGACGGGTACAGCACGCAGCCACGGCGGGGCCGGGGGGGGGGGGCAGGAAAAGGGCCGTTTTATATGCCGAATTATCATTGTGCTATACCGTAACTAGGCTCGTGCACGGTACCCCCACACACACATGTTACAGAGGAACATGGTGTGGCTGGCGCATGGGACATTGTTGACTGATGTGTGGATTTTTCGTTACAAAAGGTAGGAAGCAAATGGTCGTCTGCGGACGCCGGAAACAGCTGTCGTGGGAAGCAACGCGCCGAGCAAGCACTAGGCAGAGAGGGGATAGGGGATAGGAGAGGACCAACCCGCAGCAATTACAGTAATCGTTTTCGGACTCAACGTGAGGTTTTCCGAGGAAAAACACCATCTGGAAGCAACCTTTCGCCAAAAACAAGCTGCTTCCGCAAGCACGGGCTGATAAGTGCGACAGCAAGCTGCTGCTGCTGCTCGAGAAAGAGAGAGAACAGCTGCCCTTGGATATGCGAAGCGTCCAGCAGTTGGCATGAACGTTCGTTCGGAGGGAAAAAGTTTGGGAAGAAGGAGGCGCCGCTCCAGTTGTGTACAAAAACGGTTGGAGCTGCAATGACACCAGACAGATACAACCAACGCTCGAGACTCCCGTGTGGTATCGTGCGGGCACCTCTCGTGTGAGTGTTCAATAGACTCTTGGGGGAGAAAGCAAGGTCCGCTGGCTAAACAAATCTAAGAAGGATGGTCCGCTCTCTCTGCTGTCATCATCTTCAACGGCAAGTTTCTTGTTTATTTCGCGCAAAAAAATGAGGAACTCGGCAGCAACAACAGCAGCCCGCTCTTGTCTGCTGGTGAGCCCCAGACCAGCAGCACGAGAGACAAAAGCCGGGCATGGCTTCCACCACGAACATGGCAATCGCGCTGCTGCGATCACACGTCGTCGACGCGGAATACCAGCAGCAGCTGTTGCTGGTGTATGCGTAGGGCATTCTAGAGTCTCTACGAAAAGGATCACAGCGACACCTCAAGGGCAGTATTTACCCACACACCGTGTCTCTCACACACACTTATACTCAAATCGACGCCCGGCCCCTCGCCAAAGAGCGCAGGGCCTACAGCAGCAGCAGCAGCGCCAGCGCTCACCATTCTGTAGGGTGACCGAGGCATTCTCGCGGTCAACCTGGACCAAGATGCCCTCCCACCGGATGTCCTTTCTGGAGATGAGGCTTATCCTGCTTCCCACGAGATCTCCCGACATCTTTCTTTCCCCGTCAGGCGGGTGGGATCGCTCGGTCGTTCGCTCTCCTCCTCGGCACTCAGCCCCGCGAGATGAAACCGTGCTGCTTCGTACGACGTCCAAGCAGTGAGGGCTTCGGCGCAGCAGGTTGTGGTCGCCCCCGCCTGCCCTTGTTGGGGGGCACGCGAAGTGGGTTTTCATGACGCAATACGGGTAGGGAGGGGCGTGGGCGCTCTTGACCTCGGAGCCTCGCCCCAGAGAGGGGAGACCAGCACACACACACACTGCTGACGAGCGAGGACAGGAGGAGGGCGTTAACTTTTGCTCCCGTTACGCTCGGCAAGATGTTCCGTAACGCTGTGCGCAGAGTGGCGGCGCCGGTTTCTCTCCGGGCAGTTGCAAAACCGGCTAAGGCGGTGGTTGTGCCCCGTGCAGCATCAGGTGCGAACACGAACGCTTCACGATGCCCTCCTTATTTCCTGAGAGTGTGACAGGGAGGGTACAGAGTTTTGCATCTCGACAACAAGCGAGGAGGAGAGGAAAGCGGGTAGGGTGGGCGCGCGTGGGCAAGTTTCGCTGCCTCGCCTGGTATGTTGTAGCTCGGTTGGCGTCGTTTCGGTGCGGCTGTGTACCGACGTGAGAGCAAAGACGTCTCTCAGTGCCGACGACGCTATTATCGCGGCGACGACTGCTGTTTCGTGCCCGCCCAACATCTCCACTGCTTCACCACGCAAGCACACACGTAGAGAGCTCGATTGGCGGATAAAGGCAGGGCGTATGCGTCATCGTTGTTCCCCATAGACGGAGGCTAGGCACTGCGTCTTTCCATGATTGTTCCCTGTTTTTGTGGCAGAATACCGAACCTTTGGCGCACCCGCTTGTCTCATAAATTCTTAGCATTCAGCACGCAGTGACTTCGTCAGTCCTGTCCGTTGCAGCTGTGCTCGATGTGCACCGAGATGCCCGGATGTTGATATGCCAAGTATTTGCACGGAGTACTTCTTTGGTTTGGGCTGTGTGCATTAGTTCGTGGTCGGGCTACTGAGTTGAGAATTGGACGGCGTACTACATGTAGCGACTCGGGAAAAAATGTGTGCTGCGTCTCGTTCGTAGTCTACGTAATGTGAAACTGCTGTTGTTAGGTCACGGGGACTGAAGACAACATCCAGCCTGGCTGGCGAACGCATCAATTAGACAACATGCTGCCAGCGATTACGCCTTTGACACCACGACAAGTAACCGTGCGGGCAAGCGAAGAAGAGAGAGAAATTAAAACCATGCGCAAGAACCCAACTGCGTGAAAGAAGCTTTCTCTCGATACACTGAAAGGCGTTTGCGCGGGAGCCAGACTCCCTCGGCCCCTTCCTCAATCCCGTAACGCAAGGCGTGAAAACAGACGGTAACCATCCATTGATGCTCGTGTTGCAGACAGACATCATTGACGCGCGTAGAGACCAATACACGCCCGTTGGCGGTTGTCTATGCCGCGGCTAGGAGTTAACACGACCATTTTTTTGTGTTGTCGCCCAAATCGCACGATACGTTACTGGCATGATCGCGACCGCGTCGCCCCTCGACATCGATGCCTATTGTTGATGTGGAAGCACCCCGCTCCCACCCCGTGATGAGATGAAGAGGCGTGTCGGGGTTACGCACGGGTACGTCTGCTCCTGGTGCTTTGCCGGGTTGAAAAAGTTACCGCCCGCATGCCAGCAGCAGCAGCAGAGGACGATGCACCACCCGTTGTAGGCATAGGACACATGCCACCCGAGGAGACGTTGGGCGAAGTCTACAACCATGCAACACTCTCCCAGAAATTCCACGCCACTTAAAACGACGAAAGGTATATAGAATACATCCAGCCGCCAACGATTAGCGAAAGGAGGCTGGCTGCTTCGGTTTTTGACAGCCGAGAAGGGCTACTGCATGCGAGCGCTAGTGTTGGGAGACACGCCTACATGGTGTTATAGTGTTGAACAGGTCGACGAACCGTCGGCTGGCGGCTACGAAACGGCTGTAGTTTCTCCCGCATGTCCTTGTGGGGGAAGAAGTAGAGGACACCCTGAAGTGCTCCGGAAACAGGGGCCGACAGACGTTGCGAGCGTGCCGCTCTCCCACCAACCCCCACCTGAGCAAGGAGGCTGAGCTAGTAGGAGGAATTGATATCGAGCAGTGCAGGCAACACCCTCTGTTATGGGAGAGCTTTGCCTCTCCGATGCCTACGAGTTTCACGTGTCCTATCCTTCAACGTCATGACCGGAAGACCTCGCATTGTGGGGTGGGCTCATGAGCGCCCAGCAGTGTCATCAAGGGATGATGCAAGATGAAAATAAGTAGGCGGTAGGACCAACCCACAGCTGGCCGCCAGTTGTGACGTTTCCCTCAAGCTGAGCGGCCCACACAGCAGCGGCTGACGTGTTGTCGACTCGAGGAGGCCAGCGAGAATCTCAACCGAACCTAGAAGGACGGCAGGTTTTTTAGCAAATCTGTGTACAGGTCTTATGCCACCTCAACACTCTCCCCCTGAGACCACCTCTCTCATACAATTTCTTGCTCCGTCGCGTGCCGCTTCAATCAGCTTGCCGACCCGCCCTGGCAAGCCGGTCTCTGTCGGCCGTCACCACCCCCTCCTCGGAGGTGGCCCCGGCGTCCTACATCGGACGGGCGGGCGAAATAGACGACCTCACGAACCAGGTGCGGTATAGCGTCATTTTTGTCGACCCGGTACAAGTTGCCGGGCCCCTGGACAGGATGGGACGGGACAGGGCAGTCTTGGTGTCTCGGGAGAGGTTGTTGTCCCCGTGTGGCCCCCTTTTCAAAGTGTTGTCGTTGCTCATGCGCGCCGGTGTGTGGGTGTGTGGGGCGGTGCTGATTGGCATCGGTGTTTGGGTATCCCTTGCAGGCTGCCTTGATCAGGGCTTGTTTGGGATATTGGTGGAGAGATCTTTTGTGTGTTTCGCCGCTGTTGGTCCAGCACCCTTTCAGGTGCAACGCCGCTCCTGCTCATGTTGATCTGGCCAAGATTAGCCATGTCCAACGCTTAGGTGGTCTCTGGCGCTTTGGATGTACCTTTCTTCTGCCATTTGTGCGAAAAAACTCACGTCTTGCGATTTCGTATCACATAAATTCCTTGAAGAAAAATGGTGTGCGTGTGGGCTGGGATAGAGCTTTTGGCAAAATTGGAGCTACCCACAATCAAGCGGGTTCGCGCGCACCTTTACCTCGGAGTCTAGGGTGACCGTTTGAGGGAGTATAATTCGAATTGTTTGCTTTGGTGCAGATGGCCGTGAGGGTATTGGGACGTTTTTGCCGTTGGTACGGAGTGTGTGTTTGATGTCGTGTCTGGCGTTTTTTGGCCACGGTGACGGTGCTCCCGACGGATGGCCGTTCACCTAGCACCCATGCTGCTGTTCTTGTGCTGCCGCCGCTGCTGCTGATGCTGATGCTGATGCTGCTGCTACTGTTGCTGCTGCTGCTGCTTGCTGCTGCTACTACCGCTGCTTTGGGCTGCTGCTGCTGCTGTTTTTTTTCCCTACTTACCACTGGCTGCTGGTGCTCCTCCTCCCAGGACGGTTACTTCGAGAAGGACAGGGTGGCCAAGGGTGACCCGGGCAAGCGAGAGTTCACGTACTTCATGCTCGGCGCCTCCCGCTTCCTCTACGCCTCCTCGGCGCGGCTGATTCTTCTCAAGGTGCCCAATCCTTTGGTTATTGTTGGGTGTTGATGAGGCTGTTGCCCGTGTTTGTGTGTCGTCCCACCTATTCTGGCTAATCATTCTCAAGGTGCCAAATCTGTTTGTTGTTGAGTGTTGACGCTGCGCACGAGTATTTTTTCGTGACTGTAAGGTGCCACCACTACGCGCCGTAGGACCAAGTACTTCCCCGGAAGCGTATTTGCGTGTTTTTTTTTGTTGTTTTTTTTGGGGGGGGGTCTGAAGGCCCTCTTTCCTACAAGAGGGAACAACATTTCGCACTCTCAAGAGACGCCAAAACGACCGGTGTGTTTTTTTTTTTGTTGTGCCACTGTTTTTTCTTTGTCTGGGCTGGTGTGTGAATGCTTCGTTCGCTTCTCGCTGTCCGCTGTGGACCTTTTCAGTTCTTGGCATCGTGGGAGCCGGCCGCTGACGTTATGGCGCTCGCCACCGCCGAGTTCGAGCTTAAGGATATCGAAATGGGTAAGTTGGAACGAACGGAGATGGAAGAACGCGGGGGGGGGGGGCACCACGAGGGGGAGACGGGAGGGGGCAAAAGAGAGAAAATGTGGGACTTTACAAGCGTATCTTGCCTACACATGGAACATAGACAACGGGGAACCACTTTTTACAAAGGTGCATTCCCTGCAAATTGAAAGAGAGGAGACGGCGGTGTGGAAGAAGCGGCAAACTAGTTTTCTCCTGAGACCCCCCGGCGCGAAATTAGACTAGCGGTGCCCTCTCGCCGCTGTGGCTATGATTGTCGTTGTCGATCCCGCTTCGCCGCACTCAGGTGCCCCCGCCCCCTCCGGGCTGAAATGGCGTGAAGTGATACCGATATGGTGGGGAAAACGTTTTTGAGCCACCTTCGCTAAGTAGGAAGGAACGATTGGCCATCAGTGATCGGTTGGTCTCATGGGAACAATGCTCCGTCTTCTCGTGTTCGAGGTCTCATAACCAGGGCATGCAAAACATGAGTGCGCCCCCCCCCCACCCCCCTCCCGCTTCCCTTCCGCCGCATCGCAGGGACAAGCGTTATCTTCAAGTGGCGCGGAAAGCCCGTGTTCATCAAGCGCAGGGATGACGAGATGATCGAGAGGGAGGTGTGTCCGCCCGAATAACATGTTGCTGTCGACCTCAGTTCTCGGTCACCCTAGCGGCCTATTATACATGGCACCAGCGGAGGAATCATGAACAGCAGCAGCAGCAACGGCTATTTAGTTCGTGGGAGTCGTGTGCACGTTTTTTTTACTTTTGCGGGTGCGAGGGAGTGGGCTGCTGATGCGATAGAGCGGACCCATTGCTGTGCTGTACCGGCTGTGCTTGCCTTTTACCTCCCGACGGCAGATGGAACAACGACGTTACCCGTCGCGTTGTCTCTATCACCACATCCGCACACGCCTTCCCACCTCCATGGGTTCGTTCGTGCCAGTCCCCCACCCCCCCGAG